GAGTACACAGGTAAGTCATAAATCTGTCTGAGGTAACGGTAACGTTTAACACCTGTCTTAGGTGTCTGTCATTTAACATCTGTGTCTCTGTGTGCCCACAGGGGAACTCATTGGGGTGGAGTACCTGTTCTCCCAGACGGGCGCTGTGCTGCAGAAGGACCTGGATGATCCTGACGCTCCAGGAGGGACTGATGAGGACGAAGCCGGGGGGTGGGGGGCAGTGATGAAGAGTTCGAGGAGGAGGAACCAGAGGAGATTCGTCTCCTCGAACACCACAGCGCTCTCCTTCAGTCCTCAAACCTCACCCGCGTGGACCAAATGGAGGTGCAGCAGGCTGAGGAGGAGGAGGAGGAGGAGGAGGAGGAGGAGGAGGAGGATGTTATCGGGCCAGGTGGAGGCAGCTACCAGCACGTCGTGGCCCTGGCCCAGGCCCTCGTGGAACTGCGCCACCGCCGCTACGTCACTCCCAGGCAAGCCAGAGAGATCACCGCTCTCTGGCTGAAGTTGAGTGATTGGGACAAGGCAGCGGTCAAATTCCCCCCCCCGTCACCAGGGCCGGCTTGTCCAAGGCCGATTCCGGACCACCCAGCGGCACGCTCACATGCCAGGGGTGTGGATAGTGTGAAGCGGTAAGCAGTCACAATAAATTTCCAAGCTTTTTTTGGTTCTTGTCCTGTCCTGTCAGTCACTAATTAACTCACTGACTCACTCTCTCTCTCTCTCTCTCTCTCTCTCTCTCTCTCTCTGTCTATGTAGTGCGGTCCTGGGCAAGGGGGCGGGAGCGGCGCAGTCTCCCGATGTGTCGAGGCTTGTGGAGGCTGTCCTGCTGGACCTCAGCATCCTCCACTGCAGCGAGGGCAGGAAGATTGCCGGGGTCTGGATTCCTCGCTGGGGTGCCGTCATGAGGGACTATCTAACAATTCGCGAGAATGTTTATAGTTGTGCAGCCCTCATGACGAGCACCCGCATCCAGCTATATGATGTCAATCGGCGGACCCTGACGCAATGGTAAGACCTGATCCTTTCTCTCACATCTGATTTGAAGTGGCACTGTGTGAGTGTGTGTGTGTGATGTCATGATTACTAATGTGCATTTGTTACATTCTGTTTTTTAAGGCACAACCAGAGGAGCAAGGCCATGATGAGGGACACCATCGCCATTGCAGTCCTGGGGCCCAGCACTCCCCAGACTGCAGCGGAGCCCCTGCCTGCCCCACCGACTGTGCTGCAGCAGCCTGAGCAGCCAGACCAGCCCCTCCAGCACCGCCTGCCCACGGACGCTTCTGGTCCTGGACCTCATCGTCGCCAGCTCCTCCACTGCCTCCTCCTCCTCCTCATCAGCCACCCCACAAGCCTCCAGCGCGGACGCCGTCCTGTCCACCAGCGTCAGCGCGGAGGCCGGTGACATCCCCTCCACAGCCACAGCTGCCACTGCTCCACCAGTGCCAAGGAACACCGCCTGGAGGCGCAAGCTCCAGGAGGAGAAAGAGCGTTGTGCCGGGAGCTGGGAGAACACTTAAAACCAGCAAAGAAGGTCTCCCACTTTAACTGCAGGCGCAGTGGCCAACCGAAGACGCGGGCGTTTGGCCACAGCCGCTACAAGAAGGAGACCTTCTGCTCCCGGGCCGAGGGGAAAGGGAGAACTGTGGAGCAGTGGCTGGCAGAGGTGAAGGGGCGTGATGGAGCAGCCCCCCTGCCTGAGCGAACACTTCACTTTGTGTGTGTGTGTGTGTGTGAGTGAGTGATGGGGCGGCTCCCCTCTCTGAACGAACTTTTGTGTGTGTGTGTGTGTGTGTGTGTGTGTGTGTGTGTGTGTGTGTTTGGGAGGGAGGGATTTGTAAATATTGTGTATATAGTGTATTTAGTTTGTCAATTATGTTTGCTAAATAAATATTGTGTATATAGTTGTCTTATATAAGATATTCCTTTATTTGTCCCACAATGGGGAAATTCCAATATATATCTATATAGTTGTATATTGCTGTCTTAATTGTTTTTGTTTTAAATAAACTTTTCTTTTTTAAACCAATGCTTTCTCCTGCTTCTTTCGGTCTTTAAGAAATTAAATAAATATAGGGAAGACTAGGTATCTAGACTAGGTGCCTGATATCACTAAATTCCCACAGGTAACAGTCACACAATACATCATTCCCTCTCCTCACTTAAAACTAGGGTCAAGGGGTCAACCCAGGGTCAGGTTCAAAGGTTTACCTAGAGACTAGGTGAGAATGGGCCTCAAATGGACACTGTAAAACAACAGGGGGTGCTGAGGGTTTAGTTGGACAGAATGGAAGGCAGAAAAGCAACGCGGAAAACCAAACACGTCACTTCATTAGGTTTGTTAGAAATATACTTTGTTAAACTGCATCTGTGTTTCTATGTACCTTGACTAACAGAGTTCTGTATTGTATTTGTATTTAAGTGGACTACGACTGCACATCCTCCTCCTCCTCCTCCTCCTCCAGCTCCTCTCCTTGACGGCTTCAGGCAGCAGAGCCAGTGGCGGGGACCAGCAAGCCCACCCGTTGCACTGTGTACAGGCGCAAAATTAAAGCAGCAAAAGACAAAAAAGTCCTCCAAAGTACCAGGGGAAAGCCACAGCACAAACCTGGTGACCCCTGCAACATCCGTGGCCAAGCATGCACGGTGGATGGTGGCCACACTTACCTCAAGGGCCAATACTTTTGTGCTGTGGAAGAGGGCCCTGGAGGACGCACAGTGCAAGAGTAGATCAGGGAACAGCTTGGCCCTGGTGAGCTACAGAAGCTCCCCAGAACAACAGCCTGGAACCTCAAACAGAGGCATGAGAAACCAGAGAAACCAGGTGGGAAAGTGAGGAAGCCCCACAAACTGCGGATCTGCCAACTCTGTGGCCAGCCACAGCAGAAAGACTTTGGCCACAGCCAATATGGGGGAGAGCACTTCTGTGCTTTCTATGAAGGGAAGACTGTGGAGCTGTGGCTGGCTGAGAAGAGTTTAAAAAGACATTAAAAGTTTTTTTTTTTTAAATATTTACTGTACTATTATCCAAGCACCTTATATGTTTCATCTGTTCACTGCACCTTATATTTTTTATTTTTAGTTTGCACTGCAATTATACTGGTTATTTATCCATTTTTTATATTGCATTCTATGTTGATTTTTTTGATATGTCTGTGTGTTGTTACTGTGTGTAATGCTGCTGCTACATTGCACTTTCCCAGCTTATCTATTATACATTTTGACCATTCCTAATAAATATTGAATTGATTAAAACCTTGTCATGTCTATTTAAATACTTTTTAACTTGACTTTTTAAACCTGGAGCCATTCAGGAGGCCAAAACGATACAAATATTAATGCACATTTAACAAAACAGGTCTCCTTGCTTTAAATGCGTGCAGGTGCCTTTAATTCGCCATATGATAAGTAACCATGTGCTCGGGATGACGTCGAACAACAGCTGAGAAAAGAAGCTTTTTCATTTAAGCTGCCATTGTCTTCCAGAAGCACCTATCTGCCAGTTTCCACCTCAGGAAGCTTCACAGCGGCGACTTGTACATTATAGAGTGGTTTGGTGTGGCTCTCTCACTTAGTTTGGCTGTAATGGACAAAACTATTAAAAGTGACTTTTTGCGTTCCCATGTAATTCTGGCTTTTTCCTTTTCACATGCAATTCTGTGGGACTTTGGTGTTTTTCCACCTGAGTGTGCTGAATGGTTCTCAGGCTGAGAAAACAAGCTTTTTCACACAAGCTGCCATTCTCTTCTGGAAGCACCTATCTGCCAGTTTCCACCTTAGGAAGCTTCACAGCGGTGACTTGTACATTATAGAGTGGTTTTCTGTGTTCCAAATGCAGTTACGCTTTTTCGACAAAAGAGGGCACACTTGACCACAGAATAATTCATTCTGGACTTGCAAAGCTTCACAGTGGCATAATTAAAGTGATGCATAAGTGGTTTGGTGTGGCTCTCTCACTTAGTTCAGCTGTAATGGACAAAACTATTAAAAGTGACTTTTTTGCGTTTCACATGTAATTCTTGCTTTTTCCTGTTTCACATGCAATTCTGTGGGACTTTGGTGTTTTTCCACATAAGTGTGCCGAATGAGCTTCTCAGGCTGAGAAAACAAGCTTTTTCACACAAGCTGCCATTCTCTTCCAGAAGCACCTATCTGCCAGTTTCCACCTCAGGAAGCTTCACAGCGGTGACTTGTACATTATAGAGTGGTTTGGTGTGGCTCTCTCACTTAGTTTGGCTCTAATGGACAAAACTATTAAAAGTGACTTTTTTGCGTTTCCCATGTAATTCTGGCTTTTTCCTGTTTCACATGCAATTCTGTGGGACTTTGGTGTTTTTCCACCTAAGTGTGCCAGGCTGAGAAACCAAGCTTTTTCACACAAGCTGCCATTCTCTTCCAGAAGCACCTATCTGCCAGTTTCCACCTCAGGAAGCTTCACAGCGGTGACTTGTACATTATAGAGTGGTTTTCTGTGTTCCAAATGCAGTTACGCTTTTTCGACAAAAGAGGGCACACTTGACCACAGAATAATTCATTCTGGACTTGCAAAGCTTCACAGTGGCATAATTAAAGTGATGCATAAGTGGTTTGGTGTGGCTCTCTCACTTAGTTTGGCTGTAATGAACAAAAATATTAAAATTGACTTTTTTGCTTTTCCCATGTAATTCTGGCTTTTTCCTTTTTCACATGCAATTCTGTGGGACTTTGGTGTTTTTCCAACTAAGTGTGCTGAATGAGCTTCTCAGGCTGAGAAAACAAGCTTTTTCACACAAGCTGCCATTCTCTTCTGGAAGCACCTATCTGCCAGTTTCGACCTCAGGAAGCTTCACAGCGGCGACTTGTACATTATAGAGTGGTTTGGTGTGGCTCTCTCACTTAGTTTGGCTGTAATGGACAAAACTATTAAAAGTGACTTTTTAGCGTTTCCCATGTAATTCTGGCTTTTTCCTGTTTCACATGCAATCGAGCCCCGGACTGATTTCGCACTCTTGCTGGGGCAGGTGTATATAGTTGTTTGCAGTGTTGTGTGTGTGTGTTTTTTTTTAAAAGACATTGACTTTCCCCTCCACAAGGACCGGGACTTTGCCGCAGTGTGGAGGCTTTCTACCAACACCGGTCCACCCACCCTGCCACAACTCTTCTACAGCACAGTGACACTCTGCTTGGAAAAAAATGTGTGTCCCATTCACACCTGTATAACACGCTGTCATGCCTCTGTGCTGTTCTGATTCTATGCACTGACAAGTCTTATAGGCCTGCTGTGTGTCTGCTGCCTGTCATATGGTTTAAGGGGGGGGGAAATCATTGTGTGTCCCATTCACACCTGTATAACACGCTGTCATGCCTCTGTGCTGTTCTGATTCTATGCACTGACAAGTTTTTTTATTTTTTATATTTTGGACATGTGGGTATGTTCATTAATGTGATCACTGTTACATCAGTTACATCCAGTAGCTGCGACGCAAGATATCGGACTGCCATTTGTGCTGGTTCATCTGCTGTTGCCACTGGCTCTGTTGCTGCCAAAAAAATAAAAAGCCTTGTATGTACAGGTACTTCACACTGTAATGCCCCTGTGTTATGTATCCATGCATATCTGTGCTGAGCTCTTATACTATGTGTCTGCCTGCTGTGATTGCCTTGTGCCACTGCTCTGTTCTGCATCACCATTTTATTATTATTATTATTATTATTATTATTATTATTGGATTGTAGTTTAAATAATCTATTTTGCTCTGTACTTCTGCTGTGTTTGATGTTGTTGTTGTGAAGATGCAGAACACAACAACAATATATTTAATTGATATTTATTTCACTGAAGAAAAAGGGGAAACAAATCATACACAGCATGTAACTTTAATTTATACATAAATAATTTATTTACCCTTTTTTACTGAGAATTGTATTTTATTTGTAAAGCCCTTTCCACACTGATATGCTGCACTGTCCTGTATCCTGGACATCTGACTTCATATTTCAAATAAATTGTCATCATTTTATACTGGTATCATTGTTCTCTTGTCCTATATCAAATTTAAAGCAATAAACACTGATGATACATATTCTCAATAAACACTGATGATACATATTCTCAATAAAATGAAGACACAGGAGATAAACCGTACTGTAAATGAAAAATCCATTTATTATTGCATTGCCTGGCCTTGGAAATATGCAAATTCATTATCATTTATAGACTCTATACAACGGTTCCAAGCATGTTTTAATCATTTTTTTATATTTAGAGAAGACATTTCGACGCTATGCACGCGTTTCGCAGTTTGCCTCCGTCGGGATTCGAACCGGCGAGCGGGAGTGCCGTTCCGCACGTCGACCGCGCGTCTTTGCGCTCTAGTGCGCATGCGCGGGTGCCGACCAAAACAGAGAAGAACGCTGGGGGAGCGCCTCTGCTCTGGGACAGCCTTCGTCTCTGTACCTGTGTTCCACATAAATGTCCCCACCTACCGATTTCAGAGGCTATCATTGGCTCATGCTCAAATGGAACAGGCCAATGGGTGAAGGCCAGGTCAACCCCATTGGTCTGTTCCATTTGGGTGCTGTGCTGTGATTCGACAGCTCGCCGCATGTCCCGCCCACCCCCAAAGCCACAGCCACGGTCAGTGTCATTCATTCATTCGGACTGAGCGGCGTTTGAGTGAGCGGACGGACGGACATTCACACAATATTATATGGTTAGACAAACTTTATTGTTTGTAAAATTATGTGCTACATTGAAAAGGCAGCTTATATATTATACAGTAATCAGTTAGCAGTGAAACAGCGAGCCAATGTAACGTTAGCGTAAGTTAGGACTGCCGCCGATGTCATTACCGATCGGTGAAATGTGTTTAAAATAATATTCCCATACTGGGTTTACTTGTTGAGACCTAGGATATTGTACTGCTATTGTGTGGAGTTGATATTTAAAGTTTAACTGTGCTTTAGATGCGTTAGCATATAAATCGCTATTAGCATGCTAAGCGTTGGAAATGAATGAGCATTTAGCCACTGCTGTGATGAGCTGACGATCTCTGGAAACGCTTTAAAAACGTGATGAGACAACTTGGCTCACTTCTTAAGACCCTTGGTATGCTGGTACAACGAGGTGGAGTCAAAATTTGAAGTGTAAATATGGTTTAAATGTGTAAACAGACCAGCCGTGATTTTGCTAGCTAAAAACAAGGAGGTGAATGAGGTCATTTTAGTTACTACTTTTCTGAGGGCTGGCGATCTCTCACAATGTATTTAATCTTTAAACAGACTACCTGATTATCTTCCTTAGACCCTGTAGATGTAGTTACTACAGTTTGAAGTCAAAATTCAAAGTGTAAATATGGTTTAAATGTGTAAACAGGACGCCTGATGTTGAATGTATGTTAATGAATGGGCACAGTATCATTGAGTACAGTAATAGACTGTCAGTAGGATGTAAACAGTGCATGTGTAGCAGATTACTGACTTAAATCTTATTTCTTGTCTTTCTAGAAAATGCAGCCTATTTTCCGCTTTGAGGCAAACCTTGACCTGACCCTGCGGGCCTCTCAGGAGGCGCTGGCCTTGAGCCGCCGCCAGAGGGGGGCCTCTGCCTCTGCCACTGCCCTGGTGGTGGTTAAGACCCCTGAGCTGGTGCGCTCTGAGGCAAGAGACAGGGTGGTGCAGAAGGGAGGTAACCCCACCGATCACCATCAGGTGCTGGCCGAGAGCGAGCTGCAGCTCGGCCAGTACCGTGGTCAGACGTTCCGGTGGCTGCTGGAGAATGACGTGGGATACGCAGTCACCATCTGTGTGTCCCACGAGGGAGAGAGAGACAAAGGGGGCACTAGTCAGCAGAATGCCCTCATGGTGCACAAAGACGCCCTCGTCTCCTACGCCAGGCTGTTCCCGCCGATGGTGGCAGCCATCGACAGGCGTAGGATGCTCGAGGGCAGTCCCCAGACCATGAGGGGCGTGGACGACACGCTGGTGGGGTTCGGTGTTCATAGTGACCTGACCTACAAGACCCTGTACGAGTCGACGGACCGTGAGCGGGCAAGGTAAGTTGTTTGTTTGTTTGTTTGTGTGTGTGTGTGTGTGTGTGTGTGTGTGTGTGTGTGTGTGTGTGTGTGTGTCTGTGTGTGTGTGTGTGTGTGTGTGTCTGTGTGTGTATCTGTGTCTGTGTGTGTATGTCTGTGTGTGTGCGTGACTTTTTTACCCATTGCATTTCTGTTCTCTTTTTTAGCTATGTACAGTTTGTGAGGCAGGCGGCACCCACAGCCAAAGCGTCCAGGTTGGTGGACTTAAAAAAATATGTGCAGGCCCGGGATGCAGAGAAGGCAGCCCTGGCAGCACAACCACCACAACCACCCCTGGACGCTGTTGGTCCCCAGGATGGACCCTCGGATGCTGACCTGCTCGCTGCCGCCATGGAGGTCGACCCGTGCAGGGATGCCCCATCAGCCGTGCCCCCCCTTCTCTCTCTCCCAGCCACCGGAACGTCCCCTTCAGGACAACACCTGTGGGGAGAGGTCAGGCCCCGGCGCACAGGTATGCTCAGTGATGACATATTGTGTTGTAGTGTGTGTGTGTGTCTGTGTTCAGTACACTAACGGTCTGACACTGCTGTGTGTTTCAGCTGCTACCACGTGGCTGGAGGCTGACGCTCCCCGAAGAGCAGCACGACTGGGTGGGCCGGGCACTGTTCAGGAGGGCACCCAACGGGCAGGGTGTCCTCACATCTGAACTCCGCCTGTGGTGGCACCCACCAGGTGCCCGGCCCCTCTACACCCAGCCACCCGCCACAGCCCACCCCTTTTTCCAGAGTCCCTTTTTCCTGTGGGTGCCCTACAGGATGTGGGCGTACCACCTCCGCTGCCCCATCGTCGCCTGTGGGGGCAAGCTTGCGGGAGCTGGCCTCTACAAGACGGTGAGGAGGGTCTTGGACAGGAGCTGCTGGTACTTCATGGGCACGGAGTACCTGGAATGCAGCTCCTGTCACAAGAAGATGCCGGGATGGTCGCAGGACATCTTGGGACAGCTGGACATGGCCCATCGTGAGCAGTTTCCAGCAGTTCTCACGTACAAGTAAGTAATGTAAACAGTAACAGCAACAGTAATGTATTTCTGTGGTTTTCTCCAGTAACCTCTGATCACCTCTTTCCCCTCCCAGGTTGTCCTGTGACAGAGCTGTGATCGGGCTCATGAAGGAGCGCACTTTGGGCAACAGTGCGTCTCGCCTCCGTGCCTCTCTGGTGGAGCAGCACACCAGAGAGTGGATGGCGCGGTCGATGCTGTACCTTTCCGTGCTCCGCAAGCTTCGGGTACCGGGCGCTGCGCCGCTGGCGGCGTCGTCGCTCCCAACCATGCACCCGGTGCCCACAGTGCTCTGGCTCATCAACGTCTACGTCAGGGACGCCTTGACGAGGCTCGACGAGACGAGAGCCAGAGTCACTTCCATCTTTGGTGATCTTTTGAAGATGGACTCCACCAAGAAGGTAGGTTTTGTTATCCACCACAGCGTGCCGTGTACCCAGTGTAATGTTTGTTTTGTCATGTGTCTGAATGTTGTTGTGTTGCTGTGTCACACAGATCACCAAAAAGCTTGCGGGCGGTGCTGCCGGGACGGCCGCCTGGGTCACCAACGTCGGCAATGAGTACGGGCAGGTGCTCATGTCCGTCCTCACCGCAGCTGAGGGGGGCGGACTTGTCGACATGGCATGGTACCGCGAAGCCGGGAAGGCCCCTCCAAGGGTCCTGTACGTGGACCGGGACTGCTGTGCCACCGTGGGACAGTGTCAAACGTCCAAGCTGTTCCACGAGTGGCACGAGCTGGTCGTCAGGCTCGACGTGTGGCACCTCATGCGGCGTTTCGCCAGAGGGGTGACCACCGACAGCCACCAGCTCTACGGCCTCTTCATGGCGAGGCTCTCCTTCGCCATTTTTGAGTGGGACGCCGAAGACGTGTCCCGCCTGAGAGGAGCCAAGCAGTCCGAGGAGGGGAGGGACGCCCAGGAGGTCAAGCTGTCCGCCAAGGAGCTCGCCCGTCACTGCCGGCGCCGCACCAGGGGTGCAGTGGAGACGGAGCGGCTGGTCCAAGAGGTGCTGGACACCTTCTGGCACGTGACGGACAGCATGGGCGTCCCTTTGATCGACCGCGCCCGAATGGAGGAGATCTGGAGCACGCAGCGCCGACACCTCGACTGCATCCAGGACCCTGCGGGAGTGGACCTCTACACCAAGACGGGAGAGCTCACCAAAGGCGGGGTGAGGCTCCCCGTCTACCGGTGCGGCCGAGGCTCCACTTCCCTGGAATCGTTCCACCTGCACCTGTGCCGCTTCATCCCAGGTAAGTACATGTGTGGTTTACAACACAGACTCAATTATGTATTTGTGTGTTTATTTGTCCTCACACTAACTGTGTTGCTTTGTTTCTGCTTAGGACAATCTGCAAGTGATGTACACTTCCAGGTGTACCTGCTGGAGGGCCTGGTGCGGTGGAACGAGAATCGAGGGAGGACAGAGGTCGGCGCTGCGTTGCTACAGTGCCCAGCTGCAGCACAGCTTCGACCAGCTGACCCAAGAGCTTCTTGGGCTCACGCTGGTCGACACGTACACCATGCCCAGGGAGTACACAGGTAAGTCATAAATCTGT